AGGAGGAAGTAGGAGGGGAGATGTTGCATTGTGGTAAATTATGGTTAATGTCATGGGACAAAGTGTATGTGAACTGTTGTATAGAAAGTTTACTTGCTCTGTAAATTTTCACCAAATCACAAGGAAAAAAAAAAAAGATGTTCAGCATCATTAACCATCAGAGAGATGCCACCCAAGGCATGACAATTGGTGTCTATTCACTTGGAATAAGAGAAGAAGAAGGAGAGTCAGGAATGGAGGATATGGAATGCGTGGCTCCATGAAAAACTGCCTCTAGATGAGACCAGAAAAACTGGATGGTGTCTGGCTACCATTACTGAATATTTTGATCAAGGATTCCACAGAGCAATTTGATCAAAAGGGAGAAAATTCAGAACAGAATTTCAAACTCAAATAGATTCTAGATTTTCTGAACCATGGTGGGTAGATGAACCCCTGAAACTATTGCCCTGAAATAATCTTTAAACCTTCAACAAAAAATATCCCCTAAAGTCTTTTTAAAATTAAATAATATAAATCACTAACTAGACATGTTTTAACTTGGGTCAAGGTAAAGGCAATCCATACACAGTAAGAGGGAGGTCAGTACAACATGACCAAGGCAAAAGAAGACACTGAGAAGTCACAAGAATAAAAGGTAATAATGGTAAATACTATTACACACATGATCTTGTAATAATAACAATAATTACAAGTGGATACAAGGTAGATATGTAAGCTCAACGGGTGTGGGATGGTGTATGGAAGTACACCCATGGGCAAAGAGTTCGGCAAAAAACATTTCTACAAATGTATTTGTATGTGCTGCAAATACATCCATGTATACAAGGGGTAAAGTTATGGAAACTTCTTAGCTATAACCAAATACCATTAGGGACTGAGACAATGGGCTTGAGGGCTTGTTATTGTTGTTGTTATGTGCCGTCGAGTCGGACCCGACTCATAGTGACCCCTCCACGGGTTGCTGAGGCATATCACTATGGAAGTAGATTGCCCAACCTTCCTTCCGAGGAGTGGCTGGCGGGTTTGAACTGCCAGCCTTCTGGTTAGCAGTCAAGTGCCTTAGGCACTATGCTACCAGAGCTCCCAAGGGACAGCTAAGTTAACTGGCATATCACAGTCCATAAAGACACCCTACTTTGGTGAGTAGTGACTGGCATCTTAAAAACTTGTGAGTGCAAAACATTGTTCCACATCCTACTTTGGGGAGAAGCAACCGGTATCTTAAAAGCTTGCAAGCAGCCATCTAGATGCAACGATGGGTCTCTCCTCGTCCAGAGCAAAGAAGAATGAAGAAAACCAAAGACTCATGGAAACAATTAGTCCAAGTGACTGGTACACCATGCAATCCTCAGCCTATACAACTATGAAACCAAAAGAACTAGATGGTGCCCGGTTACCACTGTCAACCACTAGGAGGGGGATCTAGGTAGGAGATCCTGGATAGAGAGGGAGAACAATGTGGAACAAAACTCAAAATCATTTGGAATTAAAAAAAAAGGGACCAGGTTTGCTGGTCTGAAAGCCTGGTAGAACCCCTGAGACTATGGCCCCTAGCTGGCCTTCAGGTCTGGAATTGAACCCACTCCTGTGGTTTCCAGCAAACAAAAGACAGGCATATGAGCTGAACATCTACATTAGGTAGATACACTCCTTGGAGAGATCAATCATGGGAGAACAGAAGGGCTGTGTATGCACAGCTCAGGCTCAGGAGCGCACAGGAGGGTAGGACACAGATTGCAGTCAATGCCATGAGACAAAGTGTGTGTGAACTGCTGTATGGAAGATAAATTTGCTCAGTAAACTTTCACCCAAATCACAATAAAAATTTAAAAAAAAATTTTTTCCCCCCCAAACCACAATATTCTTAAAAAAGCCCCAAATAATACTAGCTTAACTGGTAAAAAGGTCTGCCTTGAGCATTTTGTTCTTTTAAGAACTATGAATATGGGATCAAATTGACAACAGCAACTTGAAATAGTAGACAGGAACTTTAGGGGGCAGTGCATTTAGGTCAGTGAGGGACAAACGACCCAGAAGAGGAGGGTGAAAATGGCTGCACAACTGGAAGAACATAATCAACATTACTAACACATCCACGGGGAGACTGTTGCATTGGTGTATGTTTTGCTGTGTATATTCTCAACAACAAAATTTAAAGAAAAAAAGGTAAAAAAAACCCTCCACAAACCCTCAGCCCAGATGCCATCTCCTCTGGGAACTGGCCCTCTGAGCCCTGCTCAGGCTGGTCAGGTGCCCCCTCTCAGCACAAGCTTGCAAGGGGTCCAGGCATCCTCGAAGGTCCTGTGTGCCATACTGACAGCAGGCAGTGGGGAGCTGTTGAGGGGTGTGTTCCTGCCCACCACTCAGGAAGGGTACATGAACACAGGAATGACAGGCTGATCTGACTGATGAGAAAGCTGGGGCTCAGAGAAGTGAAACAACTTCCCTGAATCACACCGCTCTCATGCTCTCTCCCCTTCCCCAGGCTTCTCCTAGAATGAATTTTCTACACGCATGGCCCTGCTTGCCCCCAAGGCTGGGTATACAGTAGGTGTGCAGTCCTGCTACTCACAGATGGGAACAGCAGGGCCAAAGAGAAGGAAGCAGGTGGGCCCCAGCACTTAGCATAGGCCAGCCCAGAGCCAGGTCAGTAAGGCCGAATAAACAAGCAGTCTCTGCGTAGGCCCGTGTGGTTCCTGAGGGCTAAGCACTCTGCTTTCTGGTTCAGCTTCTGTTGCGCTCAGCAGCACAGAGATGGTAAGTGGGGCCAGAGCAAGAACCCACCTTGTAGGCAGCTGGTCTACACAAGGTACACAACTCTCTGCTGGTGCTGGGTCCCTTGACCAGGGAAGGTGATGAGGCCCCACCTAACCCCAGAGATTTCACCATTCTGGGCAGGATGAAGGAGCTCTGGTGGTGCAGTGTCTAAGGCATCTGACTGCTAACTAGAAGGTCCGTGATTCAAACCCACCAGCTGCTCTGTGGAACAAAGATGAGGCAATCTAATTCTGTAAACATTTACCACCTCAGAACCCAACAGGGTCACTATGAGTCAGAGTCAACTGGATGGCAGTGAGTTTGGTTTTTTGGGGTTTGTCAAGGGGCAGGAGGACAGACTCTCTGGAGTCTTCATGGCATCTCATAAAGGCTGGGAGTGAGACAGCCCTCTCTGAGGGGTGAAGACCCAGCCACAATGGAGCTGACCATGGAGGTGAGGAGAAACCCCCAGGCCAGCAGTGTGAGGGTTCCTTAGTGGTGGTCCCCAGAAGACTTTCTCTTCTTCTATGCCCTTTAGAGGAGGCCTGGACTCAGCTGGCTGCTCTGTGGGGCTTGGGAGGGGCCAGCCTGTCCTTCTATGTAGCAGCCTCTCCTTGAGAGCCCAGCAGACTTACACTGGGCACTGCAGGAGTAGCTCTGGAGAACTGTAGCCAGGACAGAGGTGCTACCCTTCAGAAAGGTGGTCTTTGTGCCAGCCTGTGGAGAGGGGGATCCCTGGAGTGGTATGTGAGCTACTCAGGTCCTAAGAAACCAGCAAGGGCAGACATCTCATGTCAGGCAGTAGGCCCCAGCTCCCCCACCTGAGGTCTGCTCTCTTAAGGCTCCAGGACAACAGGGACCCACAGAAGACTGGAGTCTGGGCTGATGGCAGAACTAGGAGATGTCTACGATGGGGCATAGAAAGGTCTTCTAAGTCCATGCTGAAGGCCAGTGTTACCACCCATCCTGAGCACTGAAGGCTCCAAGGCCCTAGGCACCAAGAAGCTTCTTAAAGGTCATCCTAAAGGTTCCATCCCAATTTCATCCTTTTCTGAGAATTTTGGGAGTAATGCTGCCATGGGCAACCATAGCAGAGGGGACTAGCTAGGGATGGAAGACAGAGCAAGACAGCCCTTCCTGGTCTGGGCCTCACCTGCCTCTCTAGCCTTCTTCACTCTGGCCAAATTCCTTCTATTCTTTCCATATAGGGTGCCTTCGTTCACAGCACTATCTATGTAGCTCTTCCATCTGGAACACTCTTTCCCCTTTCCAATTCCTATTCATTTTTCAGGTCTCATCCTAGAAGTCACTCCCTCCAAGAAGTCTACCCTGCCATCCTCCTGTGCCATTCTGAGTGAATGTCCCACTTCTGGTCTTCTTACCTCTTTGTCCCCCAGGCCTCAACCTCTAGTTACTCCTGTGCCTTCCCCACCAGATACAAGTTCCAAAAGGCTGGGAACTGTGTCTACCTTCAACTTTGTATCCCACACTCCTAACTTGGTGCTTGACACTTTGTATGTTTTCAGTTAATAGTTGTTGAGTAAACAAATGGATAAACAAAACCACACCCAAAGCATGTAGTAATTTATCAGGCCCTCATGGGAAGATCTCAGCCCAGCCTTGGCATTTCTCCCAAGCAGACACCTTGCCCAGGCAGTGCCACCACCATGTGTGTACCTCTGTAGGTCGCCATCCACACCCCCAGTGCTTACCTCTTGCTTAGCTCCTTCAGGGCCCCACTTCGGCACAGGCCCAGGTAATCCCCCAGAAGCTTCAGCTGTTCCCGCTTCTTCCCAATGAGGCGCATCCGCTCCACATGCTCATACAGAGATGCGTTCACCAGCTGCAGGTTGATGAGGGGCTGGGTGTGGATCTGTGTCAGGAACTTCAGGGCCTGTCGGCAGATCTGAGGGCACCACCAGGCATCAGACATGGAAAAGAATGGCTGTTCAGTGGGCCATTCTGGGCCAGGCACCTTGTTACCTACACATTCATCCAACTCTGCAATCACCCCAAGGGAAGCAGTGTTATCTTTATTTTACAGATGAGGAAACTAAGGCTGGGAGTGAGTCAGCACTCCCTGGCAGAGTCAGGATTTGAACCCACTGTACCTGACTCCTAAACCCACCTTTCCTCCATAGCACCAGGCTGCTTGCTGCCTCTCCCTGGCTATGCTGAGTCAGGGGACAGGCTGCTCTGGTCAATGCTCCTCTCCCCCTAGGCCTCACAGACCATTCTTACTATTTCCTGTACTCCCAGCCTCTATTTTCCTGCTTCAGGAAAGAAGCACTCCCCCTGGGCCCTGAATCAGGAACCAGGTGACTGGTCTGAGTCAGGATCCAACCACAGGAAGCTATAGATCAGATACCACTTAACAAAGGGTTTGCTCTTTCAGCTCTCATCAGCAGCAACAACCAGGGCTCCCCAGGTCTCTGTGTGCAGCTAAGTGTTCAATCTCAGTCTCTCCCACCTGGTAGCACTGAAGGTTATTCTACCATCAGTCCTGACCCTAGTGACAATGACAATTACTGAACACCTACTATTTGCCAGACACTGTGCTAGGAACCTCAACCATATCCTCTTAACAACCCAACAGGGAAGATGTCATCGTCCCCATTTTAGAAATGAGGTAAGTGAGGCTCAGAGAAGCTGACGTGACTTATCCAATGCCACCTTGAGGAAGTGGAGCACAAGTCTGAACTGTGGTATAGTCTCTGCATGCCAGGCTACCCTCTAATGAGAAACTTCTCTTGCCTGCAGTTTCCTCATTGCCATGGGGAGAAGGATGGAGGGGTTGAGATGTTCTCCCTGGGCAACTTCTGCAACTTTTCTGAGTTGGGCTTTGGCGTCACAATTGGGTTTGAATCCTGTCTCTACCACTTTCCTAGCTGTATGACCTTGTAAAACTTACTTATCCTCTGTGACTCAGTGTCCTCATCTGTAAAATAGGGACAATATAAGCACCCACCTCATGTGAAGATACTGAGTTTAGATTAAAAAGAGAGACAGTCCATGAAGGGAAGGGGTGGATGCAGGGAGGAAGCCAGAAGAATGCTGTTGCACTGTGAGGATTGCAATGAATGTAACAAAACGGAATGTATACGGACTGTTTAATGGAAGACCAATTTGCTATGTAAACTTTCACCCAAATCACAATAAAAAAATTTAAAAACATTTTTAAAAGCTCTTGCAATAGCTGGTATAAGATGATCAAATAAATAAATACAGGTGAGTCTATGTAAGCTCCGGGCACAGAGTGTAGACATCCCCTCAGTAAATGTGAGCTGCTGTCAGACTCTGGGTGCCAGTCGTCTGTCCACTTGAGAGAATGTAACAGGGCTTGCAGGAGACCTGCCCCTGTACTGAGGGCTGGGGAGGCCTCTGGCTTCCTGTCTCCTAGTTCCAAGGGCATTCCTTACCTCTGTCAATGGACAATTCCTTCTTTTCCCATTTCCTAGAACCCTGAGGTACCAGCCCCCCTCCAGCCTAGGGGGTTCAATGGTGAACCTCTCTGGTGACTTGGATCAAAACACTGCTCTCCAGCTCCAGCCCAGCTCTTCCCACGCCTCAGCCTCAGGCCTTGGGTGAGGCTCAGATGAACTAACACACAGGAATGTGTGCTGAAAACTGCCAAACGCTACAGATGGGCAGGGGCTTTGTGTTCCCCGGGGACTGTTCCTATCCTGTTGGTGAAGAGGAGACAAAGAACCCTCAGCCCTGGGCCGACAGCCTGCCAAATGCCAGCCAATCCTCGGCACAAGTGGGTCAGCCAGAGTACTAAGAGTGAGTAAAAAGGCCCCAAACTCCCAGCCACACAATTGCTGTTTTAAATTGCCCTGTCTCCCCAGGTCAGTGATCTCTGGCAGAGAGCTGGGTATTTTCTGACCTCACTTACGCCTAGAGAATGATTTTAATTTTCTAGTTAGAAAAAGGAAACGGCACAAGGATTACTGCAATTCACAAGGAGAAGGCTCAAAAATGTATTAGGGTTTTGTAACTATTGAATGTATTTTATGGTCAAAGGGTTCTTTGCATTTTAGGTGATTTTTAGGTTAAACTTCCTGTGTAGTCAGTCAAATACTTAACAAGGGTGAGGACAAGGTAAATAACAAAAAAGCCAATGTGAAGTCAACTTCTTTGGGCTTTTCCCCCCCCAGGGGGGTGAAGGTTGGGATATCTACCTGTGACACAGGTTACCAGGGGAGGGGCAGGAGGCACCAAGTAGAACTGCACCCCTAACCCCCAGCAGACAGCATGGGACTGACTCCAAGGATCAGCTTCCCTGCCCTCTGAAGAGCACACACCCACAGGGCCAAGACCGCACAGACCCACAGGGCCAAGACCGCACAGCTGGCAGGCCTTGGGTCTGGAGAAAAGCAAACAGCTTCTTCCTCATCTTCCTTGTCTGCCTTATTCTAACTCTGTGCTTTGGGGCAAAGCCAAGATTGAATCCTTTGAAGCACACCCTGGCACTATCCTGACTAAGTGAATTAGGGGCAGGAGGTGTGACAGGCCTCAGGAGGGGCAAAGGGTAAGGCACTGTCCTAAGTGACAGGCACAGACTGCCACAAATGACACACTCTCTCTGGTTTAGTCCTCACAACAACCCCAAGACAGATATTGTTATTAAGCCCCCTTTACAGATGAGGAAACCCCAAAACCAAACCCAGCCCACTGCCATCAAATTGGTTCTAACTTATAGCAACCCTAACTCGTAGTGATTTTGTAGGGCTCAGGAGAACTGACCCACAGCATTTTGAAGGCTGTAAATCTTTACAGAAGCAGACAGCCTCAACTTTCTCCCACAGACTGACTGGCTGGTAGGTTTGAACTGCCAGCCTTTTAGACAGCAGTGCATAATGACTGAGCCACCAGGGCTCCTAGGTGAGGAAATTGAGGTTAAATGAATTGGTCATGGTAAAGTAGCTAAGCTCAGGCAGAGAAGAGAAAAATGTGAAAGATCTTAGAACACATTTTATTTAGCAGCATTTGGTGAGCATAAGAGTGCCCAAAATATTGTAATATTAAGTGAAAAAGCATATTATAAAGCACTATGGGTCCCATATGATCCCAATTTTATAAAAAGTCAATCTATTCACTTATATGCATAGGTAAATAAATGCATAGAAATGGCTATATCCTGAAATGTTAATGGTGATTATCTCAGCATGATGACACATGATTTTGATTTGTCTTTGGGCTTTCCTGTCATTTTAAGAAGTTGAGTAATAACCATGTATTATCTTTATAATGGGGGATCCTCAGCAAAACTGCTCTTTCAAAAACATGATTTTTAATTAATAAAAAGCAAAACAAAACATAATAGGTGAAGCCTATGCAGGGCCTGCAGGAGCTCTGGTGGCGTAGTGCCTAAAGCACTTGACTGCTAACCAGAAGGCTGGAGGTTCAAACCCACCAGCCACTCCTCGGAAGGAAGGCTGGGCGATCTACTTCCACAGTAATATTGCCTCAGAAACCCAAGGAGGGGTCGCTATGAATTGGATATGACTCAATGGCAGTGAGTTTTTTTTTTTATGCAGGGCATGCAGGGTTGGCAAAGGCAAGGCTGACCGCTCCAAGGGAAGCACAGCCAGCCAGGTGGCCAGCCTGTTCGTCTGTCTGTCCATCCATCCATCCAATCTCTTTTTTCTATCTGTCTGCCTTCCTTACCACTTACCTGCCTAGCTGCTGGTGCCTTAAAGAGTTTTGTCTATAGTCACAGAGCTGCAGCAAACCTAAGTACTTCTCTTGGTCACAGCTGCCCTCCACCAAAATCCCCCAAACAGCTCAGCAGCAGCAGTGGCAAAGAGGGGTGAACATTCTTCTGTGACTTAGCAGCCCTGCGTAGCCACCACAGGCTGGTCTCAAGCCTTACCGGGCGCTTGGTGAGATCCCAGTTGTGAATGATCCTGGCTGGAATCACTGAGGCATCGTCTTGGTGACAGATATCACAGTAATAGAGGCCAGAGAAGGCACAGAGCTTGGGTCGTACAAATGAGAAGCCAATCTGTCGGGAGCAGCCTAGGGAGATGGATGACGGGAGAGTGAGCAGAGGCAGAGCAGGGCAGGGCAGAGGCCGCTCCTAAGTCACCCAGAAGCCATTAGGGTTGGAGAGGGCCTGCTATGTAACCTTTTTTTTTTTTTTTCTCAAGAAAAGTACAAAGATATAAACCACCACCACTCATAATAAACCCTATTAATTCATCTTTACAACAAACACTGTGTAAGAGTTATTGTCTCCATATTACATCTGAAGAAATTGGTTCACATAGAGGTTAAGAAACCTGCCCAAAGTCACACGATGATTAAAGTGGCATAAACCAAAAACCAAACTCACTGCCATCGAGTCAGGTCCAACTCGTAGCGACCCCTCCTTGGATTTCCAAGGCAGTATCTCTACAGGAGATTGCCCAACCTTCCTTCCGAGGAGTAGCTGGTGGGTTTGAACCACCAGACCTCTGGTTAGCAGTCAAATGCCTTAGGTACTATGCCACCAGAGCTCCCTAAAGTGGCAGAGCTGCAATTCAAATATGGGTTTGGTTGGTTCCAAAGCCCATATTCTCATCTATAACAACTAACTGCCTTTCTCCAGTGTCCCCACTGCTTATTCACCAACGCCAACTTCCTCCAGGCCCACCCCTCCCCTGGGGCTCAGAAATGGGAGCAACTAAGTCAGGGCCTCAGGAAGCAGGGAAGGAGTTGGGGAGATGGGGCCGGCCCCGGGGAGCGGGTGGGAAACCAGCAGGAGGCAGAGCAGTGTGCCCATTGCCTAGTACCAGCAGGAAGCAGAGCTCCTGAGACTCAGGAGAGTGGTATAAAGGCCCACTCTCGACCCCCTCTGTTGGAGGTCCCTCCAGAGCAGGTACAGTGGTAGCAGCAGTGGGGTGTGCCAAAGAGCAAATTCTGGTTCAAATCCTGAACACATTCCAGCCTTGGGACAAAGAAGGCCGGCTCTTCTGTTTACCAGCTGTCTCATCCCATCCTAAGGAGAATTACTGAACTTTTCAAGGTTCCATTTTAGTAACTATAAAATTCAGCTACTACAAGCTATTTTATGGGGTTATTACAAAGTCTAAACGACACGAGGTTTTGTAAGCTCCCTGCAAACTAGGAAATACAATCAGTGTTGAGTGACTACCTGGCCACTCAGCTGTGCATGCAGGGTAGAAAGGAAGCCCAAATTCCTGAGTCCTGGTTTGCAGGCTGGTGGGCAGGGATCATCACAGTGAGAGCTGCCTCCACTCAGCATTCATACCTACAGGGGGGGAACCCTCCTCCCTAAAGTGAGTGCTGGGAGCAGGTAAGGGCTGAGTGGCAACTTGAAGCTGTTCCCTGCAAGAAGCTCTGCTGTGCCTAGCTTCTCTCATCCTCCAGAGGAGCCAACTTCAGGCCACTTCCTTCCCGACACTTGAAGCAGGCTTCCCCCTCCAGTGCCACAGGCTCCACCTCCACAGGACAACTTCAAAACCAAGGCTTGGCTGACAGCCACGTTTCCAACAAGGCAACCTCCTGACAGTTCACCTGGATGGCCCTGGTGATGGAAATGGGTCTCTGGACTAGGAAGTGTAGGAAGAGCTAAAAATGGGACATGAGAAGTAAATATCATGCAACCTTGAAAAATATGGGTAGGGGAGACGCTATGGGCCTTGGCTACGAGCACAGGCCCTAATCCTGGCTCCACCACTTACTAGCTGTGTGACTCTGGCACAAGGTACTTACCAGTTCTGTGCCTCAGTTTCCTCATGTATAAATGAAGATGATAGTAGAACCTATCCTTAGACAGTTGTCATGAGGATTAAGTGAGATAATTCTAATAAAGTATTTGGCCCAGTGCCCAGCATGGGAGTATTAGAGCTGATGATAACCACATAGCAGCTGCACTGATTTGGAGTAATACCCATAGTGTGTACGTAGGAAAAAACCCAGTTATGGACCAATGCAGATCTAGACAGACAGAGCTGTGCTGCCTAATACAGTGACTACAGCTCCACGTACCTGCTTAAACTGAAATAACCTTAAGTAAAATGAAAACTTCTGTTTCTGAGTCACATTAGTCATATTTTAAGTACTCATCAGCTGCATGTGACTCATGGCTACCACACTGGACAGCACAGATAGCCAATATTTTCATCATCACAGAAGGTGCTACTGGACAGAGCTGAAGAGCAGGAGCCCATTTCTGTCATCTAAAAAACTGGGTGCACTTGCAAAAGCATGCACAAATTTCCGGAAGGATACCATGCCTTTCGCTCTGAGACTATACGATGGTAAGAAGGCAGTTCAGGGGATGGAGCTGGAGTGCTTAGCTCCCTCAGCTCTGAGGAGCAAGGAACAGGCAGCAGGAGCTGCCACCCACAGGTCCTGCCCGTTCACAGGAGGTGGCAGGAGGGGAGGGGAGAGAGCGGACTGCTGGCGAGTGCAGAGGCTGCAGGAAAAGGCTCATTTGCTGCAGCACCCCGAGGGTGCGCTGAAGGCACTTATAGAGAGCAGAAGGGGGTGGAGAGCCTAGCTCTGGAACCCACAGGAGCAGAGTGAGCCTGGCAGGCCTGGGGGTGGCGAGGGAGTACATCAGCACCTGCACAGAAGCAGCCCTGGGAGTCAAGGCCTTTCTCCGTGGGGATGGCCACCAGGTACTGCAGCAGGAAACCGTTTTCCCTCGTGGCAAACTTCAGCACCTCCTGACAGCTTTCATCCAGACTCCCACCAAGTGTCACTGCCTCCTCAGCTATCTCCAGGTAGGACGTCAGGACCTTGCGTACCAGATCCCTCCACAGGGTGGCCTCATCAGCATTCCCAGCCTGTAACTTTAGGACAGCCTTGGCTGTGATAATTTTAAAGCAGGACGGGCCCCCAAGGCTCATGTCTGGCAAAATGTCTCGGATGGTCTCAACTCCATGGCTGTCACTCAACATCTTCTCGTTGTTTCTCACGCGGAAGCATTTCAGGGACTCCAAGGATAGGGAAAAAATATAGGGCACCCAGGTCCTGTCTGAGTATAGGTACAGAAGGGATTCCTTAATAGCATCTGGCTCTGGAACATGGGCACATGACCAATCAAACTGTGTGCCCTGGAAGGTCTCAGGCTCTGAGAGAGGGTCTGAGTAGGGGGGAAGGCCACCCTGGGGGATCGCGGGGATATCCTCCGGCTCTTCTGGGTATTGGATGTTCACCCACTCATCCTCCTGCTGAGGCCGGCACTTCTGCAGGGCCTCCCGCACCCGGTCCAGCCAGTCCTCGGCTTCATCCTGCGAGGAGGCACGCAGGGTCAGCTTCTTGCCAGAGAAGAGCAGCTCAAAGCGCCCATCGCTGTGGGCTGGCCCCACAGACTCACAGCGCAGCAGGGAGCAGTTCTCCACACAGGTGCGCTCCTCATTGCTCAGGTAGAGGCGGAACTCCAATGGTGACAGCTCGCAGAAGAGTTCTTTCCAGATGCCCATGGCCCCCCGCCGTTCCACTGTGCCCAGCTTCATGAGGCCCCGGAATGGGTTGGACAGCCCTGGAAGCAGAAGAGGCACTTTAGACAGAGGCTTATCCCTTACCACCCAAGGAAACTTCTGGTGCCTTCATCCCACAGTGGGTGTGGGCAATGTGACTGCCAGCAGAACACAGCCAGCCTCGGGGCACTGCCAAATGGGATTCTGGAAGCCAGAGGGGGCTATTTACTGAGTACATCCACCCCCCTCCTCTCCTCAGCTGACTTTGTTTCCTGTATTTCACTGAGAAACTAAACGCTCAAAAGATGACCTCCACGAGCCCCACCACCACAACCACCCTCCTTCCAGCATCTGTACCCAGATTCTGACTTCCCTCCTGCTGTGAGGGATGAACCCACTGCTCTTCTCTGTCTGAAGCCACCCATCTGTGCAGGAGATCCACCCCTCCCAGTCACCTACCCAAGGACAAGGAAATCCCTGCAGCAATTGTCCCTCTCTTCCTGTTGCCGTTTTCCCCTTCTCGGCTGGACCATTCCACATAAACATGTTGTTATTTCTCTTATTTTTAAAAATACCCCAACTCCACTCACAGCTCTAATTACCCTATTTCTCTGGTCACCTTTATAGAAAAACTCCTTGAGGTGGTATTGAAACTCTCTGCCTTCAATTCTTTATTCCTGTTTGTTCTTGAAACTGCTCCACTGAAACTGCTCTTTGTAAAGGTTGCCAGTGCCCGCCTTGTTGCCAAGCCCAAAGGCCAGGCCTCCAGCCTCCTCTTGTCTGACCTTTCAGCAACACTGGGCACAACAAGCCTTCCTTCCCTCCAGAAACTCTTCCTTCACTTGGCTTCTGAGACCCTGTTCGCAGGTCTCCTCCCACATCACTGGCCACTCAGTCACTGTCTCCTTGGCAGCTGCCCCTCCTCTCCTGACCTCTAAATGTTGGAGAGCCCCAGAGCTCTTGGGTCACCTCTTTTCAATGGACACCTACTTCCTAGACTATTCCTTAGGGCTTTAAATACCATCCCTATGGCTCCAATTCCAGATTTTAATCTTCAGCCTGACTGCTCTCCCGGATTCATGTACCCATCTGCTCCATGTGTGTCTGATAGGCATCTCAAACTGGCCACATCCAAAAATGAATTCCTGATTCTCCCACCCCAAATCTCTTCATAAAAATGGCAAACTTATGGGGAGGAAGTGGGAAGAGAGCTGTTACATTGTGGGAAATTGCAGTCAATGTCATGAGACAAAATGTATATGAACTGCTGTATGGAAAATTAATTTGCTCTGTCAATTTTCACTCAAATCACAATAAAAATTAAAAAAAAAAAGGCAAACTTAACCCTTCCAGTGGTTTGGGCTAAAACCCTTAGAGTTATCCTTGATTTTCTGTCTCTCACACCACATATCCTGTTCACATCAGCATATCCCATTAGCTCCACCTGCAGCTCGTATCCAGGCTTCTCCATTTCTCCCCACCTCCCACCACCTCGCTGGTCCAATCCACTGTCACCTCTGGCCTAGGTTCTATTAATAACCTCCTAACTGGTCTCTTTCCCCAAAGTCCTTCACCATAGAGCCAAGATGACCCCTTAAAAAGACAAGTCAGGTCATGTCTGTCCCAACTTCTGCAATGGCTGCCATTGCCCTCTGAGCAGAAGGCAAAATATTCTCAATGGTCCACAAATCGCCCTGTGATCTAGGCCCATCAACTCTTCTCTGACCTCATCTCTAACCACCAACTCCCCCAGCCCCTCTGTTCCAGCCACTCTGGCCTCCTCTAGCCAGCCAGGGCCTAGAAACCTGGCCAGAATTCTTTGCTGGCTGACAGCAAACAGAAAATGAAGAGAGAAAGGACTAACTCTAGGGTATACTTTTGATTGTTTTAGGGAAGAAACCTACGAGGATGGTTACAGGAAAACGGTTATGGTTATTTAAATCTCTGGGATGTCAAGAGGTGTAGAGATCAAGTCGGCCTCCTTATATGCAGGACATAAAACACCAAAGCCAAACCCACCACCATCAAGTCGATTCCAACTCCCAGCAACTCTACAGTACAAAAGGAGAATTGCCCACAGGGTTTCCAAGGCTATAAATCTTTAAGGAAGCAGAATGCCTCCGTAGCTTTCTCCAGGAATCTTTCTCCTCCAGAGTGCCTGATAGGTTTGAATTGCTGAACTTTCGGATAGCAGCCAAATACTTCAACCACTGTGCCACCAGAGCTCCAAGCAGCACATCAAAAAAAAAAAAAAAAAAAAAAAAAACTCACTGCCATTAAGTCAGATCCAACTCATAGTGACCCCTCCCTGGGTTTCCGAGGTGGTATCACTACGGAAGTAGATCGCCCAACCTTTCTCCTGAGGAGTGCCTGGTGGGTTTGAACCGCCAACCTTCTGGTAGTAGTCAAATGCCTTAGGCACTATACCACCAGAGCTCCCAAGCAGCACAAAGAGGACACTAACAACAGATCTGATCAACCCCACTTGAGCTGTTATATAAAGCATCTCAGATAAAGGCCTTTGAAAGGAGCAGCTGAAACACCTGGGCTTCAAGAGGCCAGTTGGGTTGTTGGGTTGTCACTGGCCCACAGGGAGAACCAAGAACTCTCTGTAATCCTAAGTTTTATATGGTACTTTCAGGGAAGCATGTACCATTTCAATACAGGAAACAGTATTTTTATACTCTGTAGAGCATTATTTTGTTACAACTTTATAAGAAAATACACAGTTCTTCTCCTGAAATGCTTTCCTCAGTGACTTAGTATGAGTGCTCCTTATTATTATGTTGTGGGATGAGGTTTTTCTTGTGAGGACACATCACCCATTCGATAATGGAAAACAGCACAACGAGGACTACCAGGGACCCCACAGTCACATACCCATCTGCCTCCGGTGTACCACCCAGAAGTTCTTATGCTCCTGTGCAGGGGCTGCCTTGGTTTCCCTGCTTCCTGGGGAAGGCACACAAGCTTTGTCTAAGGCCCCCATGGAGTGGCTTTTTCTTGGCCCTTGAGAAAAATGCCTGTGGAGACGAGGCCTTGACTCTGGAGTCTCTTTGGATGAAGCTGTGCAGTGATCTGAAAGGCTCTCTGGGGGTGGCTCCTGGGAAGGCCGGTAGAAATCATCTTCTGAGATCCAGCTCTTGCTTTTCTATTGGGAAAGAAGATAAATCTTTTGTTTGTTTTGTTTTCAAATTTTAATTAACATACCCTAAGTGTATAATTCAGTGATTTTAGTATACATTATTAGAATTATTTGAATTGTGCAACCATCACAATTTAAATGCAGAACACTTTCATCACTCCACAAAGAAATGCCAAACCCAGTAGCAGTCACTTCTCATTTCCCTGCCAAGTTCCCAGCCCCAGATGCCCATTAGTCTTTCTGTCTCTATGGCTTTGCCTACTCTGGACATTTCATATAAATGGACTCATACCATATGAGGTCTTTCATGACTAATTTCATTCACATATGTATATTTTTTTTAATTGTGATTTGGGTGAAGGTTTACAGAGCAAATTTACTTTCCATACAGCGGTTCATATATACTTTGTCTCATGATATTGACCACAGTTTGCCATAATGCAACAACTCCCCTCCCACTTCCTCCCCTTAGTTATCTCTTCCCTGTATCCATCCCTCCATGCACTCCTGCCCCCTTAGCTGTCTCCCTGTGCATAAGCAGCCCTTCTTTCTCCCATGATTGTTCTCTCCAAGGAGTATATTTACTTGAGGTAAATGTTCAACTCATATGCCTGTCTTTTGTTTGGCTGGAAACCACAGGTGTGGGGGTTCAATTCCAGATCTGAAGGGCAGCTAGGGGCCATAGTCTCAGTGGTTCCACCAGGCTCTATCAGACCAGCAAACCTGGTCTTTTCTTTTCTCCAAATGATTTTGAGTTTTGTTCCACATTGTTCTCCCTCTCTATCAAGGATCTCCTACATAGATCCCCTTTCAAGTGGATACCAGTGGTAGCCGGGCACCATCTAGTTCTTCTGGTCTCATAGTTGTATAGGCTGCAGATCGGATGGTGTATCAGTCGCTAGGACTAATTGTTTCCATAAATTTTGTTTTTCGTCTTTCTTCTTTGCTCTGGACGAGGAGAGACCCATTGTTGCATCTAGATGGCAGCTTGCTAGCTTTTAAGATCCCAGTCACTCACATAGCGTAATGTTTTTAAGGTACATAAATCAGTACTTCATTTCTTTTTATGAGTGAATGACATTCTATTGTATGGATATATCACATTCTGTTTACCCCTTCATCAACTGATGGACATTTGGGTTATTTCTACTTTTTAATTATTATGAATAATGCTGCTATAAACATTCATGTATGAATTTTATGTGGACATAGGTTTTTTTAATTCTCTTGAGTACGTACCTAGAAGTGGAACTGCTGGGTTACATGGTCACCCTTGGGTATGTACCTAGGAGTGGAACTGCTAGATCCCATGATAACCCCAGGCTTACCTTTCTGATGAACTGCCAACCTTTGCCCCAACAACTTGCACCACCTTACATTTCCTCTGCAATATAAGAGGCTTGCAGTTTTTCCACATCTTCACCAACACTTGTCATTGCCCATCTTTTGATTATAACCATCCTGTTGAGTGAGAAGTGTTATGTCACTGTGGTTTTGATTTGCATTCCCTTGTGGCTAACGATGTTGGGCATCTTTCCATGTGCTTATTAGGCATTTGCATGTCCCATTGGAGGCACTCACTCAGTTATGCCAAGAGATTTGGAGGACAGCTACCTGGCCAACTGACTGGAAGAGATCCATATTTGTGCCCATTCCAAAGAAAGGTGATCCCACAGAATGTAGAAATTATAGAACAATATCATTAATATCACATGCAAGTAAGATCTTACTGAAGATAATTCAGAAACGTTTGCAGCAGTATATTGACAGAGAACTTCCAGAGGTTCAAGCCGGATTCAGAAGAGGACGTGGAACAAGGGATATCATAGCTGTTGTCAGATGGATCTTGGCTCAAAGCAGGGAATACCAGAAAGATGTTTACTTGTGTTTTATTGACTATGCAAAGGCATTTGATTGTGTGGATCATGACAAATTATGGATAACATTGAGAAGAATGGGAATTCCCAAGCACTTGATTGTACTCATGAGGAATCTGTACCTTGACCAGGAGGCTGTCGTTCGAACAGAACAAGGGGACACTACGTGGTTTAAAATCAAGAAGGGAGTGCGTCAGGGTTGTATTCTGTCTCCACACTTATTCAATCTATATGCTGAGCAAATAATCCGAGAAGCTGGACTATATGAAGAAAAACGTGGTATCAGGATTGGAGGAAGAATCATTAACAACCTGAGATATGCAGACGATACAACTTTGCTTGCTGAAAGTGAGGATGACTCAAGGCACCTACTGATGAAGGTTGAAGAATACAGTCTGCAGTATGGATTACATCTCAACATAAAGAAAAGAAAAATCCTCACAACTGGACCAATGAGCAGCATCACAATAAATGGAGAGAAGATTGAGGATGTCAAGGAATTCAAGTTGCTTGGTTCTACAATCGATGCCAATGGAAGCAGCAGTCAGGACATTAGACGACGTGTAGCATTGGGAAAGTCAACTGCGAAGGAACCGTTTCAAGTGCTGAGGAGCAAGGATATCTCATTGAGGACTAAGGTGCGCCTGACACAAGCCATGATATTTCCAATCGCCTGGTATGCATGTGAGAGCTGGACATTGAATAAGGAAGACCGAAGAAGAGTTGATGTTTTTGAGTTGTGGTGCTGGCAAAGAATGCTGAAAGTACTGTGGACTGCTAAAAGAACTAACAGATCTGTCCTGGAGGAAGTGCAGCCAGAATGCTCCTTGGAGGCAAGAATGGCCAGACGTCGTCTCACCTATTTTGGTCATGTTGTAAGAAGGGACCATTCCCTGGAGAAGGATGTCATGCTTGGTAGGGTGGAGGGTCAACGAAAGAGGGGGAGGCCTTCAAGGAGATGGATTGATATGGTGGCTGCGATGATGGGCTCAAGTATAGCAGGGATTGTGGGGCTGGCACGGGATCGGGCAGTGTTTCGTTCTGCTGTGCATGGGGTCGCTATGAGTCGAAAATGACTCGACGGCACTTAACAACAACAACAACATGTCTTCTTCAGAGAAATGTCTAGTCAAATCCTTTGCCATTTTTGAATTGGGTATTTGTCCAATTTATCTATTTTTTTGTTGTTGTTGTGATGTTTTTGGTGTCACATCTAAGAACTCATTGCCTAATCCAAGGTCATGAAGATTTACACCTATGTTATCTTCTAAGAGTTTCATAGTTCCAGCTCTTAAATTTAGGTTGATGAGATCCATTTTGAGTTGATTTTCGTGGACAGTGTAAAAAACAGGTTCTATTTTATTCTTTTTCATGTGACTCTGCAGTTGTACCAGCAGCATTTGTTGCAAGGACATCACGTTTTATGGCCCTGCTTTTGAGATCTGAAGTGAAGAAGGCCAGCTCCTACTGGCTGCCTGTCTCTGCTCCCCACTGCTGTGTCAGCCTCTGAGACCCCAGGCAGCCAGGCCCCACCCCTTTCCTCTAATGCTCTCTCTCTGAATCTGGAGTTGTTTACTGGCTAGGGACAGTGGGCTTTGGGATTGAAGTCTAGTTCCTTTTTTCACTATTTCAAGCTCTCTTGCTTCTCTGTACTGAAACGTGAAGCCAGCTGGGTGGCCCTAAATGACTGTCTACACAGAGGAAATGAGTCACAAAGGGCTAAGACCAGCCCAATAATTTTGTTAAGTGTCACCAATGTTACCCTGAAAATACTATTTACAACTCCTAAACCAAGGCTATTCCCTCCACTCTGACAGACTGGGAGGGGAGCTGGGCCGAGCTGCCCCTCAAGGTTTGCTTTGGACAGTTTAATCTACTTAGATGATACCAAGCCCCTAAACCATGGTGGCGAGTTCGGAGTGAGGTACTGGTGGAGGCCTCACAGAGCTGGGTCTGCAGAGCCTCCTCCTCAGAGTCCTCAGAACTGGCAGGTGCACCCTTCTGCCAGGGACAGGATGTGTCACCCAGGGTGGCTACTGGGGACCATCCACAAAGCCAAATTCTGAACCCAGCCTGCCTAAGTCAGTTATACACAGGGGAGCAGAGAACAGGCAGGAGGAGCAGTGCCCAGAAACCATGTGGCCTTCCTGGCAGCCCCTCTGGACCTGGCATACACATCTGGGAATCACGTGGTACCCTCCCCACCCCGATAAAGGCCCTGATGGGAGAGATGGCCATCCTTCGAGATTCATGGTACTCTCCTCAAGCTTTCCTTACTCTTCTCCAGCTTACACTCTTCCTAGCCCAGCAGAGTTAGAGACCTCAACTGGGTTCCATGGCATTTTGTGTTTGGTCCCATCCTAACATCTGAAAGGCTGTTTGGAACTCTCATTTTTCTTGGTATCTCCAGCACAAGTGCCTGGCACAGAACTAAAAGTGCTGTGGGAATAAATCTTGACTATATACATGTTCTTAAGATAAACTAGCAAGGGTAGGGTGAGGGAGCTGAAAGGAAAAGGAAACAAGTGGGAATTTTCAGATTATACGTGCTCATTGGTGAGGGCTTCTGTCTCTGTTGAGGAGAGGAAAACCATTAGGAAATGTTCAGACACAGCAGCTGACCAGGAAATGATACTGTAGGGACTATCTTTTGTCCTCTAAATAGAGAGAAAACCAGTGGGAACACTGGTGTGATCCCTGCCTCTTCAGGGCCCCCAGGCATGAGGGGAGGGAAAGAGAGAGAGAAAGCTAGTGCCAGGGACACCATTTCTTCTTTTCCTCCCCTCTTCCTACCATGACTCCACTTCTCACTCAGGCCCTCACATCTGCCATATCCTTGTCCCTGACAGTGGAGGAAAACTACTAGGTGCTACCACTAACCAAGGATCAGAACCAGAGCAGCACCCATCACCAGGAATTCAAGACAGAGACATGTTGCCTCCAGCCATTAATGGTACCATGGCACGAACAACTGCAGCCAAATCCTGAAGGGGAGTGGGGCTGAGGAGTGAGATGGCCACATCTCTAGATGGCTTTCAAAAACGCAAAGGAATTGCTTGTACCCAAAACTGGAGGAAGGGATCACACATCATAAGTGGTTCATGGGGGTGGTGATTAGGGTCAAGTCTT